GAAAGAGGCCAAGGTTGGAGAACGGCATTAATAGCAGTTAAACATGTGTTGATTTTGATTGCAGTGTCACTCACTCTTTTGAAATGTAGAACATAACCATGCCAATTGCCATTCAACAGAGCCACTTTTTCAAAATTACACTTTCTCTTACTCCTTTAATCTTCTTTTTTTTTTTTGACAACAAAATATGCTAAATTTACAAATGATTTTCTGTTAGCTGTTATGTTGTCTATTCTTGTTATTTTTTGTTCAAAGCCATTCTGAAACTTATTTGTCGTGGGCGTCTTTGTTTTCTTTTTACTAAAGTGATTGGATGTTGCATCTCAAATCAATGAAGTAACATCATTAAATTGTTTCTGACTTGTCCTCTTTTTTGCTTTCGCAGTTTGATAAAAATGACACCTGTTCTGTTTTCTTGTATGCGGGTGGTGCCATTGCGGCTCTATGACTAACATCATCATTCTTTAATATTGTTTTTCTTACACTTCTTTCAAGCTACTTTGGACACTTGAATAGGAGAACCCAAGGAAGCCAAGTCAAAAATATTGTTAATCACTTGCAGTGCCATGTCAAAACATAGTAGTCCATTTTATGTTAAAAAAAATAATTTCTCCCTACCATATATGCTTCTATATATAAACACAAAGACAGAAAAAATTCATCTCTTGCAAAGGAAACTTAAGCTATCATTGAGAAGTCAAGAAAACAAATATATCATAAGAACCACACAAACCCAAATCGAAACCCCAATCATCAATTGAGAAGCATAAATTTTCAAAGACCATGTTGGATTTTAAAATCATATTAACCCTGTTTAATTTATAGGAAGAAGTATAAACTGGATTAATTCACCCGCACCCGCTCTTGCACTTGAGACTCAAACACCGATTACATCCACTGGCCAAAGGATGCGCTTTAGAGCCTCGGTCTGTATTATGTTCTAAGACCGAGACTCTCTGCTTCTGTCCTGCTCCTGCATCCAGGTTTCGAGTCAATGCTATTCTTTGATATTTATGCGTGATGGTGATTTCTCTCAACACTTGCTAATTGCCTATGACTCTATTTAGAAATGTACAGAACAGATCAATACCAATCCCACCCCACTTTTTATTCCATTTTCCTATTTATATTAAGTTATACTCCGTAACATCATCAATAACCATTTATGTGCTATTTTGTTCAAGTTAAACTGTTAAATCACAAAGAAGGTTTTTTTGAAGGGTAAGCAAACATTACCTCAAAAAATCAACTTGCTATTTAGGGATCAATAGTGCCATCAACCAACCTTTTAAAATTGCTTGAAGCGGATGCAATCACTGCAGCAACTTTCTTTCTAACAATGCTTAAGCTGCTGAATTTGTTTCAGAGCACACGAAGAAGAGGAAAGTTAATCAGTGTGAAATACTGTGTGTGAAGAAAGAAATAGCATAAAGTGAAGAAATGTTACCAAGTAAAATACCTATCATAACCTTCAAACAGAAAGATTGACAGTTGTTCCAAAAGAAAGCCTGAAACATTAAATTTAATGATATCCCCTTGAGCAAGTGTTCTATGTAATATATAAAAGAAAAAGATGGAAGTAACCCAAAAGGTATCTTGTAGAAAGCTGGTATCTTATTATAAAAGAATAAGGGATTTCTTCCCCACAAATACAATACCTAACTTGCAGAACTTCAAGGTTTAAACTGCTCAATGCCCAAAGGTTCCAATTCCTTCACAAATAACAAGATCCTCTCTCTCTCCGCATCCTCTCTTATTTATAGCGTTATTTCTTCAACCAACTAACCTAACTAACCAATGGGTAACAATCTGTATATGTTTATCCAACAAGGCATATAGTTATCATTTTGGATTGTTCTACAGATGATATAATGTGATCAAGTGATGGATAAAGAAATTGTTTCTACCCTCATCCCAAATACAAACAAAAAACTGAAATAGTACAACTGTTTTGACTAATACATTACTAGAGAAGGATTCTCTGGAGTTATGAAACAACTTAACTCCCTATAGCTCAGCAATTCCCAACCATCCCTACAGGACAATATGATGATTCAGTCCTATTCCTCCCCATTATTTATTAAAGATGTAAAGCATAAACACTTGTAATCAAGAAAGATACTAACAGGACAATTAAATGTGAAAAAGGAACTATAAGAACTCCAAACAATTAGTGATGACTACATTTAATAATGAATAAGATTTAAAAAAAAAAATACTAAGTATTTGATTACAATACTCAACACAGTGGTGTTGCTGCACTCTCATTCTCCCACATAAGTCTCTGTTCAGAGAATTTCAACAACTACACTGGTTTACCCTATATTTACAATTTGAATGCTTCACTCACACCTCAGAGATAGTAATTATAGTTTTCTTTCCCATTAATTTTCTTCGGCAGTGGTTTTCTTCACTAATTCCAATTATTACACTATTTTATAACATGAAAATAGATTAAAAAAAAACAAAAAAAAAACATACAGCATATTGAAAACAAGATAGCTGAAAGAGAGACAAAACTATCAATATGAATCTAAAATGCATTAAACATGGATTGAATGATCACTGTTCAAGCAATGCTTCTTTTATTCAACAAAATCGAAGATGGCTAAACCTTTGAGTTTTTTTATCGGACTACATTCGGTTGGTTTACTTGTACATCTATATCCATAATAACAGAACTAAACTACACAGAGCAATACAGTAAACCAATGTAAGATCCCAATTCAAAAACAATGAATCCTACTCTGTTCGGAACCACAAGTATATGCGCGAAACTAAAATATCACTATCTTCAGTACACGGAACATGAAGTGCTCAAGACTAAACCGGAAGTAAACACGGAACATGAATCATGTCCAAATTCGTTACGGTTGAAGTGCGAATTGATTCTAGAAGGAGAAAGAAAAGTGTGGCTTCAACTACCAAATAACTTGTCATTTTCTTTCAAGCATTTCGTCGAACACTCGATAGGCACGAGGAGAACAAAAAATTGTTATCACTCTCACAGGCTCAATAAATCTGTCTTACAGCAACTACCAGTGACTCTAATTTGCACCATAGCTCGAAACGAAAACAGCAAAATAACAAAATGCTACGAAACAAATGATAGAGAAATTCCTTACCCTATAAATAAAACTCTGGAAACGCGTGAAAATGTGCGTATGATGTGAATTGAAGCAAAGGGCGATAGAAGTTCCTGCAAGAGTTCGTTTTTCTCCGCGAGCTTCGCCGGCGATGGAGATGTGAATTGAGAAAGTGTTTCTACACTTTTTGTCAAATACAAATAGAAAATTGAAATCGTTAGTTGGATTAATTCCAATAGAATCAAATCAAACTGATTCCAACATATTTAATTAGGTTGAAATATTTTATTAATTTTAGTTTATGAAATTAATATTAAGGTTAATTTGATGGAGGCTGAAGCAGTGATAACTGTTCATCTCATTTTAAGGGTGAAATCGGGGAGACTGAGAGAAAGAAAAAAGAAGAAGAAAAGAGAGAGAGAGAGAGAGAAAGTTAATGTATGTTAAATATTTTTCGATTAAATATGACCCAAATTATTGAATTATTAGGGAAAAAACATTTTACGTTTTTTTATATAGTTTTCAAAAAAAATAAAATAAGAGAAAAAAAGAAAAAGTGAAAGACTTGAATACAATTTTACTTCCTTAATAATGTGTTATAATGAAAAATTTTAAAAGAGTGATTCGTTTTTTAAAGAGTTTTAATTTTTATGAAATAAAATATTTTATTTGAATGTATAATTTATAATAAAAAATATATAAAATTTAAGTATTTGTGAAATTTTTTAAAATAATAAAAGTTTTAAATTTTTTAAAAATAATAATTTGTAATTCTTCATTTATTTTTTCTATCTTCATACACCCTCTATTTTACATGCATTAAATTAATGATTTAACAATAATGTTTTGAAATACTTCATTTATTTAATGTCAAATCTCCAAAATAACAAAACTACATCTAAAAACAATTATAAGGGATATTAAGCTAATACTAAAACAACTCTAAGAAAATAATCTAAATTCGTGATACGAATAATAATAGAAAACAATTTCCTACCTAATTAATATCTCAATATTATAACTTATGAGAGCATTTTCATGAAAGACTTACACTTCTCCATTATTACAATCAAATTTAGTAGCACATGTACAATAAAACAAAATACCAAAAGAGAAGAGAAAGTGAGAAACATCTCACTCTAACTACTTGTAAAAAATGATTGGATAGTCACACACAATAAACACAAAAATGAATATGCATATCACTAGAGATGGCAACTAGGCAGGTCGGGTACAGGTTTTATGATACCCGTCCCTGTCCCTGCAACACAAACCCATCCTCGTACCCGTACTCGTCGGGTATATAATTTTCATCCTCATTCCCGTACCTGTAAATTTTTTTTTTTGCAAAAAAAATACACAGTATTTTTAAATTATTTTTCTATTATATTATAATTATAATTAGATTTTTCTCTATATCATATTTTAATCAAGAGATTTCTTAATAATTACACAATTATAAATATTTCACATTATAATAAATAATTACACATAATAAAATATTAAAAAAAAATTAATATAATTAAATCAGGTACGAGTACGGGTACGGGGCGGGTATGTATATACTCATACCCATACCCGTACTCTGTTTAATTTATCGGATTTTACCCATACTCATACCCGTACCCGGTCAAATCGGGACGGGTTTAGGTATTACCCACGGGTACGAGTTTATTTGTCATCCCTACATATCACTCATCGACAAATATTTCATCCATAGATTATAACAATCAAGGCAATATACATTAAATCACATTCTATAACAATATTATTCATCGCATTTAAACAAATATCAAGTTCATAATTCAAATTTAATGGGGATGTTATGACTATGCAATGGACAAAACCCTCCTAAATTATATATGCATGTGATGTTTGTAAAATTACGTTATCTTGACCTGAAAACATGAATAGTAAGGAGAACATGTCGAATCATAATGATCACAACACTCTACACTAAGAAGATATACACTAGTGGTACTTCAAGATAACTATGTTGGCCAAATTTCACCCTTTGCACACAAAGGGTGAGACTAGGTCTCCCAAACCTAGTTATCTCCAATGTCATGAATCCCCAAATTTTAACACAAGAAGGTCTTTCCTAGCAATGTATTTCACATCGTACTCATCACAAAATACATAATACATATAATGCATGTTATACAAACTCAATGCACATCATATCAATCTTATTCACAATCCCCAATATTCACATTCCCAACTAGGCAATTCACCCACACTTTTCACTACTAAGACATACCTAGACTTGGTCACATCATTCATCCAAAGTTTTTCACATAGAACACATTTCACTTGAATCCAAAACACATACCTTACTCATCACAATGAACTAATTCGCAAGGTTCACATATTCAAGAGCTATTCACTTAATCAAACAAAATTATGTATTTCTGGTGCAGGTACATGGTGATGTCTAACATGGGATGCCCTATGCTTGACACGGTCAAGGCCAAGAGCACTCCAAGCTTTCTAGAAGGATCGCACCAGACATAACCCTTTTTACGTTTAGCGATTTTCACAATAGGGAGTCCTTGGAGCTCTCACGATTGGCATGACCATGCTCATACTTGCAACACCACTAATAACACTTTGTGGCTCTCACACCCTACAAGGATCTCCCCACATTCGATGTGATTGCCATAGAGAGCAACTGATGCTCTCTATCTTGTCATGTGCCCAATGTGCCTTGCATGGAACCCAAAGCAGTATTATATGAGTGTGTCTTTTGCATAATTTATGAGTCATACTCACATTAAGTCCCACAACTTAGACAAATTCATTTAGTAAAAAGATATCTATAATCTAATTAATTCATCCTACTATAAGGGTCCCCTATTCACATTTGTTTCTCTAATAACTTGTTTTATATTAATTCTTAGGTTCTCTCAAGAACCCACAAATACTTACAAATTCATAAATAAGGACAATTCCACATATCAAAACACAATCACACTTTCAATAATACATTCAAAAGCACTGGGAATTTCACAAATGATATAGATCTATAATTTACGAGCAAAATTGGGAGTACTTCCTCATGCCATCAAACAGAAGTAAGCAAAATTGGGGTCAATTCCACTACGCGCAAATAATCCACACCCAAAGCGAAGTTCTCACTCCCCTCTTACCTTGATACTTGCTAAACTCCAAATATGGATCTTTGAGGTTGTCTCCAACTACTTTGAATCTCCCTTATCTTCAGATCCCAAGAATGCACATTAAAAGGTGTTTATGAGGAAATCTTGTATTACTAAACTATTTTTTCTTTCTTTTTCATCCTTCTATTGAAACTACTGTTTTTAGTCATTATTTTTATATTATATTTTTAGAAAAGATTATCTCCCAACTTTTTAGTTAGTTTTATAGAAAGAAAAGAAAAGTTGTTTATGAAAAAAAATTGCTTGTTATGGAAATTAGCTAAAATTTATAAATAGGTTTTTTTTAATAAAAAAAATTATTTTTATGATGTGAAAATTTGAAACTTATGATTATTTGTTAACTTTTTTTCCTTTTAAGCTAATTTATTACATAAAGATTTTTTATCCAAATGAAATTAAATAAAATCATTTATCAATAAACTTATCTAAGCAAAATTTCATTTTAATTATAATTGATTATTAAAATAATTTAATTTTCATAACTTTTCCAAACATACCCTAAATATTAGGGTTGTACAATTTTGGTTTTTGAATTTCAATTGAGTAATTTAAGTTCTCAAGTATTGTAAGTATAATAGTTGTATAATTTTGGTATCTTTGTCATTTTTATTAAAATTAACAAATTTTGCTAATATAACTTTGTCAAATGATGCGATTGATGACATAACACTAATGTGACAAATGATGTAAATGTTTTTTTTTTCATAGGCATGCTTCACTTAGTATTCCAAAATTGACCAACAACCAAGACTAATTATCATTTGTAGGACGTGATTTTGTTAACCAAATATTATTTCAACATTTTAGAAATTAATTGGTCAAAAGACTTGTTTCAAATGATATAGATATTGAAGTGTAATGATGAAGTAACTAGTGAAAATTAGATAAAAAATTGTCCACGTGTTTAAAATAAGATATAATTTTGAGACCCTTAACTCAAACAACCACACATAAGATAACAAATTTTTTTGATAAATATCCACTTTCGTTTTGTTTAACATTTTAGCAATTCTTGTTTGATTCAATTTGATTGTCGTTTTACGATATTAATACAAACATTAAAAAAAAATTACTATACCTTTAACCATTAGTAATGTATTCCTTAATTATTTGGGGAAATCCAAAGGGAGTCATATAATTTATTTTTCAAACATAATAATTGGATTTCTTAAGCTTATGTCAAAACCCTAAATGTCAAACAAAATCTTGCTTTAGTGGACATACCTATGTTATGTTAGGAGATCCCTTGCCACCAAAAGTAAAATTCCTCTTATTGGTCTTTAATGGCCTTCAATTTGACAAGTAAAGTCTTAAGTCAAACTAGAGACTGTCAGGTTCAACTAACCACAAAGCATGTGTTTGTTTTCACATTGAATGAAATTAAATGTTAATTCATCTCTCCCCTTCTATGTTTCTTTAGAAAATGTAAGAACAAAATCCATTGAATGATATTCAAACGATAAGACAAACACGCTATAAGTGAACAGTAGTGTTTGATCTGAAGATCCCAACATGTCATTAGCTCCCTGTACGATACTCATGGGAGTCTCATCTCCTATCTATTTCTACAAATCAAAAACAAAATAAAATGGAGGGAGTGCATGAAACTGGATGTAGTTTGATCGTTGAAAGGCAAGGTTTCAGCTGGCTTTGGCTCCCAAATGGTGCTTTTTATCGTACGTATTGTATTAGCAGAATGTTTCCTCCCAAATGGCATTTTATCGTATACTACATTGAAGTAAAGATGAGACCATTACTAGTTCTATCCACTCTTCAAAACTGAAAATGTATTAGTAAGAAAATAGAGATTGAGTGAATTATGATTCATGAATTCATTAAATTATGTCCTACACAAAACGTTTTAGAACTTTTAGAATGGTTAATGGGATAGAAAAAAGAAACTTGGTTAAGAAACAGACCTAGAAACAAACAGAACACACACATGAAACCAGGACTAACTATTACTAAGCATTCCCAAATGTGGAAACACACAAAAACACCTCTTTGCTTGTAGTTGTTTCCTAGAGCTTGTGATATTCTCACAACATCAATGCCCTCCTCCAATCATCCATAATCACAAAATCTCAAATGCAGTTCCTCTCAACGCCAAGCTTCAGCTAAATCTGTTGTAGAGTTTATAAGCCCTGTAATTGAAGTTCTCGTACTTTTCTCAACCATAATTTTTGAACATGTAACCTTGTTAGAACTACTCAAGTCAAGGCTTTTGCTCTTACAAATGTTTTCTTGATCTCCTTTAGTCAAACCAGTAAAGATTCCATTTGTCAAAGAGCACATTTGAGAGATAATGTTGCAAGGTAAAGTGACAACCAGCCACGTATTTCCTCTAGTAATGATACTCTCAGTAGGTGTATGCAAACTTTTGGATCCACTTTCCATTTCATAGCCATCTTCAACGAGACGACTAGAGTGGCTTTGTGGAGAAGGTTCTTCATCAACAAATACCTTACCCTCTTCACTAAAATCACTTCCACTTTCACTACCATCCTGAAGTATCAGCTGCGAAGAGCTTTGGTGCTCATCATCCGCAAAAGAATTTTGGTCTGCCATAGGATTTGATTTTATCATAGACTCATCTCTTTCTCTTAGTGTCTTCATCACAAGGGTCTTTAGAAAATTCATCACTTGTACTACATACATCAAAGCCGTCAAAGGATCCGCCATCTGTAGCAGGCAGGTCAGAAACGATGTTATTGTACCATGGATTTATATTTAATGATGAGTGATATAACTATAATCTTGCATAAAACCATCAAAGGAAGAAAATAAAGTAAACCATTTATTTTAGCACTTAGTGGGGAGAAGTTCACATATACCCACTTAACCATAGTTAACCTCTTTCAAAAACTTTCTAAAAACTTTAAATGTAAACACAAAATCTTAATAACAATCTTTTTCTAGCGAACATGTTATTGATTCAGTATGACAGCTAAACTAACCACAAGGGGTAAACATTATATGTACAAATTGAAGTTAACTTGTATAAAAATCACAAAGTCTACAATAATACAAAATACAAGAAAAACATGTTCTTGACTCACCTGAGTCATGTTTGGTGCAAAAACCATTGCAACATTATGAGCATTCATCTTGTTCAAATGTTCGAGTTGAGCAACATCAGCCATAAGGTTTATCGCCCAATCTAGTAAAGTTGCTTCTGTTTGAGGAAGAAGCCTCAAAAGCTGAGCACATTCCTCTTCTGATTGAGACTGCATTACCTGCTCTGGTGAAAGAGGGTCCAATACCCCAGTTGGAAGTTCTCTGAACCAAGCCTAAACAAGAATATCAAATTAATGCAATAATCTCCATAATGAAGTTTACTTAACAAGTTCATGGTCTCTGTTAATACAACGATCTCTATAATAAGTGATCCTAAAGAAAAAATCTAATAATAGTATAATTAATAATACCTTGATAAGACCTGCTAAACAGTGGACATCAATTCCATCTGGAACAATCCCTCGATTTAATTGTTCCCTTACAAACTCCTCTTGACCATTCTCGGCATTAATTCTGAAGATTCCTTCAGCCTACATGTGAACATTAAAATATCAACTTCAAGCTTGGTACAAAAGCAAATCATATAAAAGCTTTAAGGTAAATTCAAAAACAATATCAAATAAAATTTTTAGAATGTCAATCTACATCCATAACTAGCATTATTTGGCAAATTATGTAATTATTCTAATCACCTTTAGGTAAACATGGGAAATATACCTGAAGACCTCCTTGTGCATACAGCTGCCTTTGCATTAACAAGAGTATTGTAGGTACACTATTTCCTCTGGCATCATAGGAAAGCTGCATTGATTCTGTTGAAACCCCAAAAATATTTGCACTGTGGATAAAGAAGCAAAATATATATCAAGATCAACACCACAGGATGATATAGGTTGAGACTTGAGAACTCTACCAAAAGTCCAAAAGTAGGTGAACAAAATGCAAACTGGATGGTTTGTCATCTAAAATGCAAATGGAGTGTGCATGCATCAACAAGGAATGTAATGGAAAATATGATACCGAGTTGTAAGAAATGACCAGATGTTTCAAGATCTTAACCACTTCATATTGATCAAGTGGACAACAGTTTCGAAGAAACAGCACTTGTACCCTTCATCAAGCTTGACAAAGACAGATAAAATAGAACACAAAAAAGACAAATGAACACTCAAACATAATGTCGAACAAGACATAAGGAAGAGAGAGAATTACTGTTTTCATGTCTAATTGACTAATTGTACAACATCATGCTTCAATTATACTTCTGGAATAACAACCATGACAAAGGAATCACAGCTCCATGTAGAACAACATAAATTCATATGATAAGAGATACCATACTATACGTACAAATTAAAATAAGAAAAGTAAGCACAGTGGTGTAAGGTTAGGCCATTTTCTTATAAACACTATCAGTGTAAAACATCTTTACATTGACATTCAACATGATTTGATCTCCTTACTACGTCATCATATTAATTAATATGAAGTGGTGATAAGTTTTAATGTTTTACAATTATAATATGTATAAATTAAAGTTAATTTTAAAAAAAAAACATAAAATTCTACAAGAAGAAAAATTCTATTTTAGTACATGCATTAGAAGTTTAAAATAGTAACTTTGGAAAAACAGCTCTGAACTTGACTGTGTCACAAGTGGATCAGCAAAGGCATTAACATGACATCAATGTAGCATACAAAACAAAAAAATCTAGCTGCAGTAAGCACTAGCAGTTACTGCAAGTGTGTTTGGGAACTAGTTAAATTAGTTAAATTCAACTAAACTGAAGTTGAAAAAAAGTTAGACTTACAAGGTTTTGATTTTTTTCCATTTTCTGTTGAACGTAATTTTAAACTTTTAAACTGGTATGCAAAAGTTACACTAACACATTGAAAGAGAAAATAAAGAAAATGATTTGGCATAGCCAGAAGGTGAATTGACCTGGCACTAGGAACCCTTCTCGGGACTTCAGGTTCGAACTCCACGGGCAAGCCAAGAAAACCATTGAAGCGATCAAAGGTAACATGTGCAACATGTCTAACATTGGAAGGCAAGCCAATCTCCATGGAAGAGAAGTCAGTAGTATTATTTTTGCTGCAACCAATGAAAGACTTTCTGAATGCAAGAAGCAAAAGTGCCAAAATGGAGACATGGTCACCCTCTTTGTCTTCTTCTCGGTTCATGTTTTGTTTTGTTTTGTTTTGATGGAGTTCTCGTGGATGTGGAACATGTTGGTTGTAGTACTAGTAGTAGTGTTGAGGGAAGGAGTCACATGAGTGTGACAGAAAAGGGTGAATGAGTTTGATTGAAGAAAAGGGTGCTGGAGGGTGTGATGTCACGTCACTTTCGTTACTGTGCCAGCCTCATTGTCGTCTTGCCCTTTTAAGGTTGCAGAAAGAGATAAAGAGAGGTTGTTGGGGTAGGGGAGAATGGAAAAACAAGATGAACAAGTGAAAGAAAGTGAGTGAGGGAACAATTAATCTATCTTATGTGGTAGTATAAAACAATTTGTTTGGTACATTTTCAAGTGAATCTTGCTTGTACGGAACAATTTATATTTGTATGGTTTCATTATATTTTTTCCTTTTCAATTGATATAATTAAAATAGTTTATTTTCTTTTAGTATATGTAGTTTGAATGTTTGATTAGTTTTTTGGTAGTGGGAAATTTTAAAAGAATATATCGCAAGGAAACTAAGAATACCCAAGGGGTGAACACCTATCCCACCTTATTGTCTTGTCTCAAGAACAAAGGCAGGAGGCTTATTCCAAACTATATAACCTCCTGATTCAATGGCACCCCTACCCGCTAGAATATGTGTCACCTTGTTGTTCTCCCGGGGAATGCTTAGAAGAGAAACCTGCCACTCTCTGGACAGCAGCTCCTGAAGGTATGTACTTTACTTTTTTTAGTCCTTATAAAAATATATTAAAAAGAAAAAAAATGTATGTACAACTAAGGTTGAAAATCTTGACTCCTAATATTTAGTTCAATTTGTTGTTCAACTTGAGTTTAATATAAATTATTTTTTCAATTTAACTTCGACCTGATTCAAACTTATTAGCGTTTCAATTCAATTTGTTTCCTTGAGTTACATGAGCCAAAAGTCAACTTTAACAAAGAAAAACATTAAAAATACTTAACATTAAACTTTAACAAAGAAATTGTAGCATGAGTTATTATGTTTTTCAAAAAAAATCTAACTAGTGAGTTGATAGATCCACGAATAACATGATTGAGTGTCAACATTTCTTCTATTCAATTAGTTTTGCTTCAGTCTTGCAATTTTGTGAAATTATCTATGTGTTGAGACATGATCAAGGTGATTTTAATTTCTTAGCCATTAGTCAAAAAACTAACCCGAAATTTTTTGTTTTAACACTTGTTATTCCTTTGAGCCAAATATTAGTTTTCTTGTTTCATTAGAATTTGAGGATATTAGAAAAATAAATTGTTACCCTACAACTTTAGGAATAAAGAAAAAAATTTAGTGATAATAAGAGAGAAAGGTTATAAGTTTTGGTGTGAGCATACATTATACCCATCATATAAGTAAGAATTCTAAGTTTGTTGTGAGTATGTTACACCCACAAAAACATCAGAAAGGTTGATGATGACCCAAACACTCATACAAGGAATTAAGTACCCTTTTGTTAAAAAAAATAAAATAATATATATTTAGAAGATAACCTTCATCTTCTAAGTCCTACATCAATTAGAAATAAGGTAACTAAAAAGTAAAAGTATTTGTTCTCATCTTACAAATGCTGCTAAAAGATTTTGTAACAACTTTTATTGCCACTAAAAGTTATATTAAATGTCACTAAAAGTTTATTTTATTATAGTGCATATTTTCAAAAATTATGGAATACACTTGAGAGTAGAATATCAAGATAATATCTTTGTTCATCAAACACTCCACATAATCACATGAATATATCTTTAACATATAAAAAACAACAACAAAAAATTTACAGCAAAAGAAGGATAAAATAGGGTGCTTTAGGAAATTTGGAAGGAATTGTAAAAATTAAAATAATACAACTAAGTGTTCTCCTAAAGCCTTAGGTGTTTTGGAATTCTAGAAAAATAATGAATTTATTGGTAGTCTAGTCACATGACAAGACAAAGAAAGACCTTAGTGATCTCTACACACTTATAATCCTCACTTAATTGTTCTAAAAAGGAAAGATGAAAAGCAAAACTAATCTGGGTGGTATTGAATGTGTGAATTGAGTGAAACACTAACCATATGATTACATTTGAAAATTACAATATGGTGAAAAAAGCAAGTGTATTGAATTACATAATTGTGAGTGTCATGATGTATAGTCCCTATGAAATTTCTTGCATTTCTTGTGCTGATCTAATGTTCTTACTATGGTTGATGATGTGATTTCTTAAATAGTTATGAAAAAAAATTGAACAATAAAATTTGTTCATACTGAGTGCTCCTTATACATTTAAGTTGTTTAAAATAGAGACAGTGCTTGATTTAGATTTGCTTGAGAGTAAGCAACATTCTAAGTTTGGTATGTTTTGATAATTGTCAAATATGTCCACACTTTTTATCCAATTTAGACAATTATTGAATATATCTTATACTTTAGATACTTTTTTTTTTTTTTTACCATAAATACATAGTTAGATTTAATTTTGTTTAAAGAATGAAATTGTTTAATTTTAGGTATTTTTAATAGTTTTCTTTGTTAAAGTTTTGAAACACAAGGAGAAGGGAACTTGAAGTTATAGTTAACCCATGCTCGCTCCAAGCCAACCAACTAGGCACTCTGAGCGGGACAAATTCGCTAAAGCAAGTCAAGGCAAAAAGCCACCCATGAAGATGGTACTGTCTTACTTAAAGCGAGCAAAATGCTCGCTTTTGAGTGAGTGAATAGAGAGCAAACCTAGAAGATTGTTCAAGCTCGCTCAAAGCAAGCTACATAAGCACTCTAAGTGAGCATACATGAAAAAAAACCCATTACAAAATATTATAAAATAGGGTTTTTAGGAGGGTTCTGTATATCATACTTTTCTGAGTATAATTTTAGAGAGATTAAAGAGAAATATTGTGAAAACATTCTTGTAATCACGGGTTAAACAAAAGATCTTTCTTTTCTTATGTAATCCTTATTCATGAGCAACTAAGTTTTCTACTTTTAGATATTGAAGTAGCTACTATACCTATGTGATTACCATGTGTTTTTCATTCAGTAAAGTTTTTATTTAGTTAACCATTTTTATCTTATGTTTAATGTTTGTTGTAACTTGTGACCTGATCAACTTATGCATGATTTTATAATTTTTAATTGAGGTTGAAAAATCCTTTTAAAATTATGACCTAGATAAAATGTTAATAATAGGTATTACTAGGAATAGGATAAACCTTATCAGTCGATTTTTGGTCCCTAACCATAATGCAGGTTTTTTTTTAACAAAAATTACCAAAGAATTGAGATTTTCTTTAAAAAACCTAGAATTTCTTACTTAAGGAATTAGAATTTAAATATAATCGCAAACTATCGAATTAATTGTATAATTTCAACATTACATGGAAAATTAAGAGGATTTGAATGGGGAAAATTAGTGAATCAATCTTTGATTGTTCTCATTATAAATTTACATTCTTCACAATTTATTACTTTATTTTTTCACTAAATTTAATATTTATTGCTAAACAATTCTAAGTTTTTATTAAATAATTTGTTTAGTACCAGAATTTCATTAAACAATTATAACTCAAGTCTATGTGGATTCGATAACTTAGACTTTTGTCTAATTTACCACCTATGACAATTAGTATAATTGTCAAATGCATATCAAGTTCATCTTGCTATCAAGATAGGGCTCGACCCTTTCTTTTTTTAACCTTGTAACATCTCTTTTTACTTCTCTATCTCAACCTGTTGTGCAATAGGGGGTTACCATACATATACACATGTCTCCACATTGGTGAGACATTGTCCGCTTTGGGCTCAAGACCTCACAGTTTTAATTTTCGAAATAAACAAAAAGGACTCTCAAACAATGGAGCAAATTGTGTGTATATAAACCCATGTCCATCCTCTTGTTTGAACGATGTGGGACTTTGCTTGCATCCCAACAATCTTTCCCTCAAACAAAGGACCACGGTTTACCCCTCTCCTGCAACGGAAACTACGAGTATTATCCGATTGTGACCCACAGAGCTCATTCATGCTCTGAGTACTTGCACCGTCGCTCCATCATGACCTCCCTCATGATAGTGGGATACGCCTCCTAACCCTCCCTTGTTTAGGAAGACTTTCGACACAAGGGATTCCAAACTTGGATCCACCTACCACCCATCATACTCATCGAGCCAGTCACCTGATCAGACCATCGGCTTTGATACCACTTGTTGAGCACCGAGGGGGTTACCACACATATACACATGTCTCCACATTGGTGAGATATTGTCCTCTTTGGGCCCAAGCCCTCACGGTTTTGCTTTTGGACATCACCCAAAAGGCTTATCAACCAATGGAGACAATTGTGTGTATATAAACCCATGTGTATCCTCTTGTTTGAACGATGTGGGACTTTGTTTGCATCCCAACAATCCTCTCTTCAAACAAAGGACCACAGTTTAACCCATCTCCTGTAGCGAAAACTACGAGTATTATCCGATAGTGGCCCCATAGAGCTCACTCACGCTTAGAGTGCTTGCACCGCCGTTCTATCATGACCTCTCTCATGACAGCGGGACACACTTCCTAACCCTCCATGTTACTGGGAAGCCTCTCTTCCACATGGACCCACCGCTAGGAAGACTTTCGACATAAGGGATCTGTTGAGCTTAGGGGAGCTGAAGACTTTAAGAGTTTTGATGATCACAACAACTTGGAGACAACAAGTGTACAACAACAACATTGAACACAAAAACAAAGTCAAGGAAGAGTCAAGAAAAATATCTTGAAGTATAGCTATGTAATAGAGCTTAGGAAGCAAATTGTTATAAATGAATTGTTATATTTGTGTCTGTGTGTGCTTTGTGCATTGAGCAAATCTTGTCTAGAATCAAGTAGGGAGTAGATGATGATGAGTTAAACATTGGAAAATTATTTTGAGACTTAAAATGAAGTTTTAAGAACTGACTCAAAATAATCGATTATTGTTAAATATAATCGATTATTTCAGCAAGTGGGCTAAGTGGAATGCCTTGCTGTAATAATCGATTATTTGCCAAAATAATCGATTATTTCAGGAACAACTCTCTGGAATAATCGATTATCCAGCTAAATAATCGATTAAATTGTTCTTGATTGATTTCCAGAAATCTGAAGAACAAAATAATCGATTATTCTTTAAAATAATCGATTATCTGGGTTTGAATTTTTATAAATAGTTTGAACTCTTTTGAAACTTCATAACATTGAGTAAAAACTGATAAT